ATACTAAAAATTTAATAAATAATATAAACTTTTTGTTAAAATTTTAAAAATGATGTAAATCCGGTTTTGCTAATCCTCTGTGGAAAATAATTTGCTGTTTTAATATTATTGAATTCCTCAGTTAATTTATTTATGAATAAAAGGATTTCAAAAAGTAAAATATACAGTTAAGTAAAGAAAGGAAGATTATGGAGAAGGAATTGAAAGTATCAAAATTTAATAGAAATGAATTTATCTTACCGAAATTTCAAAAATGATGTAAATCCGGTTTTCCTTCAATTAATTCATTTATAAATAAACCGATTTGAAAATGTAAAATATACAGTTAAGCAAACACAAGGAGATTACAGAGAACGAATTTGGAATACTGAAAATTAATAAAAATAAATTTATCCTAACGAAATTTTAAAAATGATGCAAATCCGGTTTTCTTAATTCTTTAAATAATTTTAGTTGCGCATTATTGTAATAATTCATTCATCGTTAATTATTAAATGAATTAAAACAATCGAAATATTCTCTTCAAATGATAACATTTATTGATAATTTTATTTTTCATTGAATGAAAAAAGAAAGAAAAGTTTCCTAAAATTTGTGGTTAGAAAGTTTGAAAAAAAAATAATAAAATGACAATTTAAAAGGTCAAAGTTGAATGGGAAAAAATATGAAAGAATCAGGAATTAACGGGAAAACTTCCGGTTATCAGGAAAATTTCCACTATAAAAGAATAATAATGTAATGTAATGTGACAGTAACTTATTTGCTCACCTTTTTTTACCTCTCATCAGCAAATATTTGAATAAACAACGGAATGAAATTTTGTTGACAAATCTCTCGACCTAATCGTTATCCCAATGGATTAATGGAATTAATGGTATTTCATTTTTAAATCTTACGATCTATGATTTCAGAGGATTAATAAAATTTTTGTTATCAATTCCTGCGATTTATCATTGATCTCCTTTATCTTTGAGGATTGGTGCAATTTTCACTGACCACATCTTAAATGATCAACAAAATATTTTCATTGACCACATCTTAAATGGTCAGCAAAAAGTCATCACTTATAACACCTTAAATGATAACAAAAAGTTCTCACTAATCACATCTTAAATGTTCAACAAAATATTTTCACTGGCTACATCTTAAATGGTCAACAAAAAGTTCTCACTGACCACATCTTAAATAGTCAACAAGAAGTTCTCACTAATCACATATTAGATGGTCAACAAAATATTTTCATTGACCACATCTTAAATGGTCAACAAGAAGTTCTCACTAATCACATCATAAATGGTCAATAAAATATTCTCATTAATCACATCTTAACTGGTCAACAAAAAGTTCTTATTGGTCATCACTTCAATCGGCATAACTTTTTTTTTGTCCTTAAAAAAGAAACAAAAACCAATGTTTAATTAATTAACAAGTGATAATTGTCGATTGTAAAGGTGTCAATTCTTAATTAGTAATAGTATTTGAAAATGATAGAAATTTGAATGAAAGATTAAAGAGAGTGAGTGGGTGTGATGGAAAAAAGTTTATTAATTAATTGTAAGATGAAAAGAAAAAAAATGAGAGAGAGAGAGAAAGAGAGAAGAAGGGAGGAAGAGACAGTGATAGAGAGCAATATTGCTCATTTTCATAAGAAAAAATCAAAGTTGAGCTATTCATATCTGTCAGCAAAGATATCAAAATTACTTTGGCTAAATGAGCAATAATTGAATGTGTGCATGTTTGTGTATGTGTGTATGTGTATATGCACGTGAATGTGTGTATGTGTGTGCTTTTTTGATATCTTTACTTATTCATGTGTGTATGTATGTGTCTGTGCATATATGTGTATGTATGTATTTGTGGATATATCTGTACATGTCTGCATGTGTATATGTATATGTGTACGTGTGTGCACATGCATGTATACGTATGTACGTGTATGTGTTTGTATGTGTATATGCATTGCGTATGTGTAATATAAATGTATCTATGTATATATATATATATATGTGTGTATGTGAATGTATGTGTATTTACGGTTATGATTTGACGAAATGATAAAAAATCGTTGAATAAATGTAATAATTTAGGTAACTTATCGCTCTCATATCCATAAATTTATTTATCAAATAAAATGGGTAGAAAAATAATAATCTCTTTTTTATTGATTATTATTTCTCCTTTTTAAATTTCATTTATAAATCTATTAATCTTAAAAAAAGTTCGTGACAGTCAAACCAACCGCTCGATGATATCGCAATTACATTCATTCATTCATTTTTTTATCATTTGTTAATATAAGGTTAAAAAGGTAGACCAATCATTTTGGCATCCAATTTTACGATATTAAGATAATAAAAGCTCGGGAAAAAAATAAGAAGAGAAGAAACAAAGAGAGAGAGAGAGAGAGGTAAAGAAATAAATTATAAAATATTCAGTTGAGAGAAGTAAAGAAATAAACTATAAAATATTTAATAAATTTTTTGATTGATTAAAAATATCGTTTAGCAATTATAGAAATTATAAAATATTTTTTGATTCTTTTTTTTCTTTTCTTCTCTTCGTCTTTTTTGCTTTCTAAATATTTTAAATATTTTAAAAATTAATCAAATTAATAATCATTACCTTTTAGTATTTAAATTTACAAATTATTATTTAAATAATTTTTGGTATTAATTTTTGGTATTAATTTTTGGTGTTTGGCAGCTTAACAATTAATCAAATCATATTTTCCATTAGGGAATTTGTTATTATGACGTGAAATTTTACTATCATGACGTGCTTAGGTTTAAAATGTTGTTATTATGACGTGGAATTTTATTATTACGATGTTTGGAACTTTACTGTCATGACGTGCCCAGGCTCGGAATGTTGTTATTATAGCGTGAAATTTTATTGTTATGACGTGCTTAGGTTTAGAATGTTGTTATGACGTGGAATTTCCTTGTAATGACATGATCAGGTTTAGAATGCTGCTATTATGACGTGGAATCTTATTACCATGACATTTGGAATTTTACTGTCATTACTTGCTTAGGCTTAGAATGTTGTTACTATGCCGTGAAATTTTACTGTTATAACGTTTGGAATTTTACTGTCATGACGTGCTCAGGTTTAGAATGCTGCTATTATGACGTGGAATCTTATTATAATGACATTTGGAATTTTGCTGCCATGACGTGCTTAGGCTTAGAATGACGTTGAAATTGCCACGATGTGCAATTTAATGTACATGAAATGTGATGTGAAACGCTATCATGGCGTATTATTTAAGATCCTTATGGCTTACTTCATTTTTTTTCTTCAAATATATAACAGAGTTAATGATATGATATAGTATTAATATAGTTATATATGCACTTGATTATTGTAATAATTTGCGAGATTGTTTTTAGAAAATCTTTTCAAATTTCATATGCTTAATTTAAATTTTAATAAATGATTTTATAAATGCTAAAATTTTATTTTTACTGGTAAAATTTTAAAAGAAAATTCGTTTCTATTCTATTTACTTAATTATTTATTTTAAATTATATATATAATTTAAAATATATATACTAATGGGAGCTTCCTTTCGATTCATAAAATATCATCATTTGTCATTCTTTTCTTAATTATTTGTTCATAAAGTATAATTACGATCATTAATAACGATCTTACTTATTTTTATATGACATAATTACGATCATTTATTACGATCTAATTACGATCTTGCTTATTTTTTATATAATATAATTACAATCTTACTTATTTTTTATATAACATAATTACGATCATTTAATATTGTAATTTAATAGGATCGTTTAATAATTAGATATGATTTTTGGCTAACATTATTATGTTATATGATAAAATTGTAATTTTAATAATACAACTTTACAGTACTTTAAATTTACAGTAATGATATTAGAAAATAGCTTTCTATTTTTTGGACTAATTTTTTCCAAAAAATTTTTATGAAATGGACAAAAGCGTTAATGGTAATGAAAACATTTCATCATTTATTATCATTTGAACAAACTTTTAATTAATTTCTTTAAAAATTAATTACTAATTAAATTCTTTAAAAATTTAATTCAATTAATTTTAATTGATTTAATTGAAAGTGATCGATTCCTCTATGTCTGTTGATTCTTAAATAAATTACAGTAAATAATAATTTTAAAATATGTTAAAATTATTATGCATAAAATTGTTGGCGATATTGGAGTATATTGATAGTTGGAAGAAAATATTCTAACCATGATAAGTGATAAGGAGCAAGATGATAATAACAAATAGCATAAATAATATATTTAAATAGATTACAGTAAATAATAATTTTAAAATGTGTTAACATTATTATGCATAAAATTGTTGGTGATATTGGAATATATTGATAGTTGGAAGAAAGTGTTTCAACTATGATAAGTGATAAGAGCAAATAGCATAGATAATCAAACTAATTAGCAGAAGAAAAATTTGGTTCCAAATTTTAAAAATAATGATAATTTTTACTCGTACAATTTTGGAGATTTTTAACTATGCCAATTATATTTATTTAATTTTGGTAGAAATACTAAAAACTAATATTTTTACTTATCGGAAAATATTATCAGTTAATTATCAATAAAGAAAAAAGTGATAAATGATAATTCTGCTTCCTTATTGCTTAGTAAGGAGTAAAATGAGAGAGCAAGTAAATAAGCAAAAGTTATTTCTGATTAAACACATATTACAATTATTTATCATTAATATGAACAAAACAGATTTGAAAAAAAAAAACGGCAATGATATTAACTGATAACAGGATGATCACATAATACTAAATTCTCTGATTATAAAATATAGCAAAAAGATGAAAATTAATATTTTTGCAAAAGTATTCTTTAACAAAATTGTTTGAAGAAAATAACGGCTTGCTTGCACTAATAACCTTGAATTAAAATAGAAAAGAAAATCAGAAATTACCGAAAATCATTTGAGATAGAATGCCGCATTCGTCATGATTATTACGGTGTATTTTAAAATGAGTCGACCTTCATCGTTGTAATGATCGCAGTCGCCATCATCACTGCCATCGCCATCATCACATCATCAGCGTCATCATCATCACTATTACCACTATCATCATCATCATCATCATCATCATCACTATTACCACTATCATCATCACTGTCATCGTCATCAATCTCACATTCATCATCATCAATCACCATCATTAACATCCCCGCTTTCATTACCATCAGCAACACTATCATCATTATCAATGACTGTTATTATCAACATCATTTATCATCTATCGTTCAAATTTTTTGCATCCTTTTAAATTTGTTCATCCTTTTGTTTATCAATCAATTTGATAAAATTATTTAAATAGGAATTAATAAATATTCCCATATTCATTAACATTAACATTACTGTCTTCATCATCATGATTATTATCGACATTATCAGCTCTCGTTTTTATCATCATCGCTATCACTATTATCGCCAACACCATCATCATAACCGATATGAGAAGCATGATTGTAATGATAATATCATACTTATAATTGTCTTAATAGTAAAAATAATGTGATCAATTGAAATAATAAAAAGATTACAACTTAAATGTGTAAAAATAATGTTTCATGCAAATAGTTCAATGATATTTTTATCAGCCCCTCTTTTTCTCTTCCGTAATTATCATAGACATTATCAACAATAATGATATAGAATCATTATAGTGATGTTAAAATTATCTATTTTATCACTTCTTTTTGTCAATTTCATTCATTCTAATCCAACCCTTAATTACTATGTTATAGTGATATTAGAATTATCAAGCTATCTTATCACTTCTTTGTCAATTTCATTCATTCTAATCCAACTCTTAATTTTTACGTTATATTGATATTAGAATTATCAAGCTATCTTATCACTTCTTTTTGTCAATTTCATTCATTCTAATCCAACTCTTAATTATTACGTTATACTGATATTAGAATTATCAAGCTATCTTATCACTTCTTTTTGTCAATTTCATTCATTCTAATCCAACTCTTAATTATTATGTTATACTGATATCAGAATTATCAAGCTATCTTATCACTTCTTTTTGTCAATTTCATTCATTCTAATCACACTCTTAATTATTACATTAAATTAGCAAAACAAAAATTTGATTAAAAAAAATTTTTTCATCTAATTAAGAAAAATTCCGATTTTCATAATTGGAAAAGATATTAGATATTGCAAACTTTAAACTTTTAAAATATTCAAAAAAAGAATTGCCTTTTCTAAAAAATTTTCCAAAGTTTACAAGAGCAAGAAAAGAAATCGGATAGGTAGTGATAAAGTGATAAGTAGTGATAAATTCTCAGTAATCAAACTTTGCAGTCCAACTCAAATTATCATTCATCAATGACTATCATAAATGATATGGATATTAAATGATTTGAATAAAATTTAAGAAAAAATGTAATTTATTCAATTTTCGAAACTACTTACAAATTTTTGATAAATCATTTATTTTTAATGATCAGAGGGTGGAAAAAAAATTCTCATTAATGATGATAAATTAATTAATTAAAAATTTGAAAATATCGTTTAATTTTTCCATGACATACTTTTACGTGAAACCTGATTTCTACAAAGTTGGTATTAAGATGAAAGAACGTGATTTGCATCCTGAAATTACACTTTTATATTCCAAAAAATGATTTCAATGATACGATATACTTATGTCAAATTTTTGCATTCTATCATGCACTAATGAAATATGTAAATTAATGCAATTAAAAAAATAACATTTAATTATAAATTCATTATGGAATAGAAACGATACTTATCTCAATGTCTTGCATTCTACCACGAATTATTGAAATATGAAAATTAATGCAAATTAAAAGAATAGCATTTAATTAATTATAAGTATATTATAGGATAGAAATATAGAAATGAAAACGTATTCGATTGCATATCATCATCATTCATTTCGTTTTATGTTTGGCAAAATTATTTCATTCAAATTTATTTCGCTCATTTTCTCTTATGAACGTACGAAGGTCAGCTTATTCGAATATTATAATTATCATAAATTACAATATTCAAAAAAACTGACCTTCACCGCAAATAATCTTATTTCTACCATCATAATTATCAGTTATTATTATTATCATCATCATCATTCTTATTGGTTATCATTACTATCATTATGAAATGTATATTTTATAATTGCAATAACAGAAAAGATAAGAATTGATATTTTTAATTCATCAATTTTTTAAAGCAAAAAAAGTTAATAGAATAAATTTCTAATTAATTTCATTTTTAAAAATTTATTAGCTATATAAAAATGATTGATTTAAATTATGACAATTTAAAAATAATTGATTAAATTATGAAAATTTATTTTTTTTTCAATAATTTATATTAATTAATCATTTTTATTGTTTCAATATAGTTGCATTCTAATTTTCAAAATATTTTCCGTCCGTTTTTCTTTCCGGTTTTTTTTTTGTTTAAATTACTACACTTTAAAGATTTTCCCTTTAATATATTAGGAATAATACATTCATAAAAATTGAAATGAATTCATTGGCATTATCATAAAATGAAAATCATTAAATCATTGAAGAAAGGTGTACGTCAATTACGTTTGTGGCGATACGTTCAAATAAGTTTGAAATTTTATGAATGCTTTTTTTTAATATTAAATTTTACTTTTCAAAGTATAATAGAAAAGCAGTTATGAAATGAATAGAACAATTGTACCGTAAAAGAAATGCAGCATTTTGAAATTTACTTATTTCACTTTCCTGAAATATATCTGATATGAATTGGATTTCAAATTAACCAATGAAATTTTTTAACTTAGTTAAATATTGTGAATTTTTAAAATATGTTAATTTATCAGGGTATTATCAATATACTATTCCTAGTTTACAGTATACATATACAGTATCGGGCAAATGAATACGGTATAAGTAGTTAGAAATAATTATAATAAGTAAATAAGTATAAATAAACATGTAATGTATTAATTTACCATGGTATTATTAATATGCCATCCCTGGTTTATAGTAAACATATACGGTAAAGATTGCGGTATAAGTTATTAGAAATAATTATAATGAATAGGAAGTAATTTTAAATAAGCATATGGTGTAGGGCAGTTGGTTACGGTATAAATTATTCGAAAATATTTTTAATAAATTAGTAATTATAAAAAAGGATATACCATAAAATTTTAACCATCCTTCGATGCCACTATGTTGCTTTTTCTCATATGTTCTTATCATTATTGTTTTGCTTTCAGTTTTTCACGAAGGAATAAGTGTTGATGATATTTCCAATTAATCATATATTTCCGTGATTCTGGAAAATACACTTGCCGGAATAGTTCATATATAAGCGTTAAAAAATAATATAAGTAAAATAAAATGATAGACGTAATTGAATTAAATCAGAATATAAAAGTAAAAATATTCAAAATTTATCATAAATTTATTTTCGAAAATTATGCTTTCCGAAATTATCCAAAATATCCTTTCCGGAATTATCCAAAATATGCTTTCCGGAATTATCGAAAACGTTGGCAAAAAAACCAAAAAAGAAAAATAAAAGGAATTTGGAATAAATTGGAATAATAACAATTATTCAGCAAATTTACTTGGAACGGTATTTTTAAATGCCAAAAGAATTGAAAAGTAAACAAAAGAAATAAATTAATAAATTAAAAATTAAGATAAAACAATTCAAACAAAATAATATTAAAGAATTGAGGAATTTTGAAAGAATAAAATAAGAGAATAGAGGAATATTTAAAAAGGGCATGATAATTTGAAAAAATAAGTTTAAGCTTTACTAATTAAATTGAAAAATAATTCTTATAATTAATTTGAGGAAAAAAATAATGGATACTAATATCACATTAGTGATATCATAATACTGATATCATAAAACCATTAAAGAAGAAATGATCATATAAGAGAAATGAGAAAAAAATGATAGTTACTAATATCATAATAGCGAAATCGTAATATTGATATCGTAAAACAAATAAGGAAAAAATGATGATTCAAGAGAAATGAAAAAAAAATGATAGATACTGATATAATGATAGTGATATTACAATACTAATATAATGCTAATATTGAAAGAAATGATAGCCACTGATATCGTAATGCTGATATCATAATACTAATGTAATACTAATAAGGAAAAAATGATAAGAGAAATGAGAAAAAAAATGATAGATACTAGTATTATAATAGTGATATTATGATACTAATATAATGCTAACAAGGCAAAAAAATGATAGCTACTAATATCACAATACTGATATCATAATACTAATAAGGAAAAAAATGATAATACTGATAATACTAATATTATTTTAACTACAATGGCATCAATTAATATTTTACCACAATCGATCTGGAATTTCTTCTTTTTGTTTTAAAATTATTTTTATGAAAAATTTATTTTTTTGAAATAGCAAATCCATGTTTTTCTTTTTAATGGTTTTTTCCTAATTTTATAAAGAAATAATTATATTAATAAAATGGGAAAAAGATATCATAAACGAATAATATGATATTTCTTCAAAAAAAAATGATATTTCATCCGGGTAAAATTGAACCTTTAAATATCAGGCCAAGGACAGATTTATAAACTAAACAAAAATTAGGTCTTACAATTGATTTAATATTGTCCCAGAATGGATTGATTTATATTATCAGTTCAAATATTTCTCTTTTTTAGTTTTCGTTATTATTATTTTTTTTGTTTTTACTAATTAATTTTTTATTTAAGTGAATATTTCGTAAATTCTAAATTGAAAAAAAAAAACGATTTTTTAAAATTTTATCCTACGATATATTACTGAATAAAAAGTATTAATTAGCATTTAAAATTTAAATTTCGGTAAACAAAAGCCAAAGAAGAAAGAAAAAACATAATTTTGCTAAAAATTTCCAGAATTAAATATGCAAAGTAAAGTTGATCTATTTTTTGGTTTGAAAAATATACTGAAACGATCAAAGTGCTGTAAGTAAATTGTAAATAAAAAATACTAATTAAATTTAAATTTCAGTAAACAAAAACCAAAGAAGAAAGAAAAAACATAATTTTGCTAAAAAAATTTTCAAAATTAAAAAATACAAAGTAAAGTTCTTTTTTTTTTGGTTCGAAAAATATATTAAAATGATCAAAGTGCTGCAAGTAAAATTGCCGAAGTAAT